ATATAACAAAATTACCACTAACAAATTAATCAATTAGGATATTGACCATTATGTGTTGTCCTCGTGAGAGTTAACATGTCGAAACGATTAACAGCTTTGTTTGTTTATAACAAATTTTAAAATAAAATAGATATTTGGAAATAAGAAATGAAAAAACCCCAATGGTATTTGTGGTTATTCATAATTTCGAACAATGAGGTGATAAATAGCTAAGAGATGTAGTCATATTTCTGTTTTTAAGGCTTTGCGTGTTTTGTAAATTATCAATAAGCTATCGTGTCTACTCGCTATTTCATGTAGACAACATGAACCTAGATTTTTACAAGGGATTCTGATGTACACTGAAGCCTCGTGTTTTCCCGTCTGTTGGTGTACAGGAGGACATTTATCGGTAAATGAATTCCTGGTAACCAGAAATTGTCTTATAGTCTACGCTTATAAACTGGTGTCCTATCTACAGTTGTATATTACGTAATGGTTTTGACTGTTTGATGGAAAACATGTTTTCTATCCAACTTGTATCTATACACCTTAATCAGTGATTGAAACCACTTCCGGGTACGTTCACATATTGATCTGAACAATTTGCATTGGAGTCATAGTTTGTATTATACGGCTAGATACACCAATGTTAAAGAATATGACATAGTGTAGGTTTGTACATATGTTTATACTTTGTTCGTGATAGTTTTGATCTGCTGACGCAAAAACCAGGATATCACTTCAACTTCGAAAGAACGACTAGATTCATTTAAAATCCCGTCATAGTTTATCCTTGGCTTTATTACAACAACAACACTATTTAAAGTTTTGTCATTATTAGAACTTCAACACTAATTGAAACTACGTGCACTGTGATAGGAACTACGAAACTACAAGAATCAACAGTCACTCATCATACTCAATTCAGAATATTTTATTGTATATATCTCAAAAGGAAAAGGAATCGAGCAACAGGCAAAACCAACGTAGGCCCTATCTAACATTGTTGATCAGTCTCTTGCCTTTTGACTGACATAGGTATTTCGATCTGATAGGGTAAAATAAAGAATGCATGTACTACACATTCTTTTAAATATGCCATTTCCTTTACCTTTAATTCTCAAACAGTGGAGAGCTATTGCTATATTACAATATGAGTATAATGATGAATTAGTATTGAGCGTATTCCACTGAAATAGAACGGGATTTTTTTTACAATTGGCATTCAAGAAAATAAAAAATAAATTAAAGGTTAATTATGATATTGTGTAATTTTAAGCATGTAAACACTCTGTTTGTTTGTATACATTGTACATATTTATGTTGTATTTGCAACTTATGGGTCGCAAGGCCAAAGGAATAAAGAACGTTGAACATTGAACACTGATGTGCAAACTACTAATAAAAACTTATTGAATATAAGATACATATACGCAAAACTTCAATAATTCGATGTCATTGGTAAAGAATTATTTCAATTATTTTACTTAGGTCACGGTTTCACTTTTATTATTTACATTTCACTGTTCACAAATTCTTCATCTGCAGTATCATGTCTGCTTTGGCCCCTTTCCTTAATTTAATGATATATTTCTCTTGTTCAACACTATTTCAAGCTCCTGTTCTCATCTGATGTCGGCGACCGTGTGACGTCTGCCATTTAGTGAAGTACAGAAGACTCTAAAAGAACGATGTGTCCAGGCAGGCGACGGACGTCGGTGTTCTGAAGACATGTGTGTTTGGTCCTCTTGGTGCTGAAGATGAGCTCTTATGAAGATTGTCTCGTAACGAAAGGGTTATAGCTGTAAATACTATGGTTTGACATGGATGTAAACTGTATTTATGTCATCGTCACAGTTGTACAAAGCTTACACAGTTATCGTCATAGTGGTATAATGTGTATACTGTAATTATTGTAGTTATACAGTATCTAAACTATATCCTCATCCGAGTTTTAGAAAGTGTATATATGTTATATCACACAGTATTTTCTAATCACGAGCACGTTTATAAAAGCAAGAGGCAACCACAGGTAAGCTTCATTACTATTCATCAGTTTGGAATATGTGATATCAAAGTTTTACTTTCTACACAAACAATGTACGCATTGAACGTGTCGCAAACAATTAAACAATCTAATAATTGAATTAAAAACGAAAATTGAAAACAAAATTGTATTGGCTCCATATGGTTATTAGTCACAATGACATTGGTGGAACTTTTAATCCGTACATTGTTTGTGTAGAAAGTAAAACTTTGATATCACTGGGATAAACTGTTCATTATTTACAGACTAATACCTTATATATTTTTTCACATTCATAAACAAGTAAACAAATACTGTCTCTTCCAATCGACTTCTAGTCCTTATGATAATCGAAATCGTCGGTCAGTGATAATGTCAACAAATGCAAGTTTTGCACGGAGGAACACCGTGAAACTTAAAACTATGTAAAAAGATTTTATTTCCGCTTCATGACGTCACCTGGCACGAGGAGAAATCCGCTTTTGAGAAAAAATATTCCCTGATGGCAAAATCAATTTTCAAGTCGTTCTCATCTTATGTAGTATTCTATGCCACTGGTAGGTGGTATAAATAATGTTTAAATGATAAAATAGTTAAAATAACCATAGACTTACAATGTACATAATACACATTGTTGAATCACGTTTTAGCTAATACGAACTTATTTTTAAGAGTGAAATCGAATTAGGCTACCATTTTCGATAGCCCTATAGTAAGCCCTCTAGTGACATCTAAGTCGGATAGCGAGACTTACATGAGCACATCAATGACACCCTCAGTGTTAGAGAGACTAAATGAGTTCACCACTAACACCTAGTTAGGTCAAAGTTTAGAGATCTGTCACCTTGTACCGACATTACCCCCTAGAACAGTGGGGTGTATGTTTGAAGAACACATCTCTGGTCTGCACAGCTCATCTGCCTCCTCGACTTTCACATCGGCAGATAACACTGATGACTATACCATTCCTCCGTCTGCACACAACCACAGCAAGTCTTTTAACATTCAACTTGATGCGTATAACAGGCCATCCTGCTGTCCGTTCTAGAGTACATAGCATATACCATTGTCATTGTGACTAATACCTATATGGAGGTTTTTGTTCCTTCTAATTTTCGCTTTTAAATCCATTATGAAATTAATTTATCTATTTACATGTACTATGAGTATTTCTGTATTGTTCACCACACGTTCGCTCATCAATCAAATACAACTTCAACGAAAGACTTATTAGAAAAACAGGCGGTGTGAAACGTATTCAAATGTTTGTCGTAATTGTACAGTAGAAGTACATTAAGAGGCTTCCCATTAGTACATCGTACATATTGTTGACTTTTATTAAGTCATTTGAGAGCGTGGTTTGTGAGAAGGAAGCCTGGGATCATTTGACTGTATACATGGTTATTAATGACTTTATTACCTGAAATTATCCAACAACAATCCAAAGTCTATTGAACATTTTTACCGAAGGCAAAATAGTCTGTCAGATTTCTTTTACAAAAAGATGAAAAATATCCACCGAAGGTAAACAATTCTGTCAGTAGACATTTTCACAAAAGGTGATAAAGTATGTCATTAGAAATGATCACCAATGGTAACAGTCAGTAAACTTATACACAAAGGTGAAATAGTCTATCATCAGTGAATTGGCTTAAATGTTTACATGTTTTTCAAAGACGTGTGTCGGTTTCTTGTGAAATGAATGTTTCGCGGATTCTGTTAGCTTCTAACTGTTTTGTCATATGAATATACCCAAAATATTTCAATAGCTCACTGCATCAAAGTCATATGTTTTTTTCTTACTGTTTGCAGGGCATTTTGTTTTTGCTTAATACAAAATATACAATTCACAAAGTCTATGCACGCATATTGTCTTGTGTGATTGTATTTATAAACACAGTCGTAGTTTAATGCTTTGTCTGTTTGACAATAACTTCCGCTAAATAACTGTTCTCTCATCAATTTCAAAGTACAAGTAACTTCAAAATAATTGGCCTCAACACATGCAGACAAGAACACTATTATCAAAACTGCATACAAACTAATTAGTATCGTACACTCGGTAAAGGAAACACATTTGTGCTTTCATGGAGTTTTAGGGAATTTAAACGCTAATCTGACAGAGTACAAACCTTAGCAAAGAAAATCATTTCCATATAAGTACTAAATTATAATCACTTAAAAATGTCTTTCTGTCATAAGGTGATATTTTGTTTTGTTTCTTTTTATTTTTTCATGAACACCATCTACGAAACCTGCACACATTTATTTTAAGAGAAAATAATGCGAAGTGAGCGATTAGCAAAAATAACGACAGTTTCCGACCAAAATAATACATTTTTTATTTATTAACTTGGAATGAAGAATCGACAACTTATTTTTTGAAAACTGCAAGAAAAAGGGTGGTTTACGTGTTTTGATTGTTTGGAATACTAAACTTAAGTGAGAACATCATCAGAAATATATATTGTGATGACGTTAGACTGTGACTTAACTTTCAATGACAATGTAGACACTATTATACTCAAAGAATAGGGAATACCTTAAATTGCTCATTTACTATATAAAACCTATTTCTATGTGTTAGGTCAGATCTTTGCATACATTTAAATATCAAACATCTCTCAGTTAGAATTAATAGTCAATATGAATGCTAAAGGGAGCGTGACACATTCCATCAAGTGGACCAGCTATGAACGCAAACTGAAAGATGCTTATATTTACTTTTAACTTTTTTTTGTTAGTTCAAATAAATATGACGTATATTTGTTTAATGATTAGAACGACCAATTTCAAGTGAGGGTCATCGGCTTCCAACGTTACGAGTATGACATGATAATAATAGTAATATCGACAATCTGGTTATGACATTCACATCTGATGTGAATGCCATTTGAAATTTGTAGAGTGATATAGTGGTATGAACAGTACACTATAACAGATACGTTCATCGAACAAAGAATAACAGGAAAATAAAACTTAAAACACCATAGCAGATTATTTTGTTTTATTTTAGATGAAGATTTACATGAAATTGTATTATATGGACAAGGGGCACAACCAATATATCACACTGTCGTCTGATAAAACCCTGGTGTAAATATCCACTCACTTCGTGGCATAGGTCATCTCGGTTTGAGGGCCCGGTACATATATTCTGGACGGTCCGATTGCTTCGTACAAACACTCCGGACGGGTCCAGAACCCTGTACTAAATCACTGGATTGTCAGAGTGCTCGCTCCGTATTCGCACTCTTAACGGTCCTAGCTCTTACAAACACTCCGGACGGGCCCAGAACCCTGTACTAAATCACTGGATTGTCCGAGTGCTCGCTCCGTATTCGTACTCTTAACGGTCCTAGCTCTCACAAACACTCCGGACGGGTCGAATGCCCAGTACACATGCTCTAAGACAGGTCGTGCGCCGGTACACGTAATCTGGACGGGTCGAACCCCACGTAAACATATTCCGGACGGTTCAACCGTCCGGCACAAACATGTATACTGTAGACGGGTCGCGCGCCCGCACATATAGACTGGGAAGTCCGAGTGCCCTTTACATATACTCCTCCTCACGAAGATTTCTGAGATAGCATATATTGTGGTGTTTTATGGTCGTTAGCGTATCAGATGAACAGTAGGGTAAACAGTGTAAAGGAATAGCAACATATTTATGTACATCTTCAAAACATCTAAATAACAACTTAGTCAATGTAAATTATGCACCTCAACAGTCAGTACAGCACTGGTTTGACGTTGGTTCATTATCAATAGAGCCTAAATTAGTTAGTTGACGTCTAAACCATATCAAGAGGCCATGTACCTCCCCAACTTGTGAATTCACGTATTGATCATATTCAGTAGCACCTAAACTACGGAGTTGACATTTTTATTACAATCTGATGTGCGACCTGTACCACCCCAACTTTTCCTCTTTAATAATTTAATGAAGACTCGCACAATTTTGACAATTCCCTATCGAAGCAATCTGTCCATTTATATACATGGCAATATTGCTAAATTTGACTTTATGTTGTGTGTGCGAATAGGGATTTAATATTTCAATGAACATCTGCTTTGGTAAAGGTTGCCAATATAGATTCATATCTTACTGGCATATATCTTAGTTAAATAATATCAAACGCATGTCCAGGCGACATGACTAAACATTTGTAATGGTGATGCCATGTACATATATGTAGATAATCTATATCCTGAAATGCCATAGCTTTCAAGTCAAATATTATATCGTTAATATAACAGAAATATTTAAACAGATTTCATGAACAATAAAATATAACGATTAAATTATCTATATACATATCTCAAATACTATACACATATGTAACGTATACAAAGGAACAATGAACAGTTGCCAAGACGGTTACAACACAACAGTATATCCGAATGACGTCATTAACATTTGTCACTGTGTTTATATACACACGAGTCGTCTAACACTGGACAACAATTTCACAACGGAACCAGTTTTGACAAGTTCTCCATTTTATAATTCAAATGGGATCGATCTTATAGAAAATAGTGTGCCTGTAAACACATGTATGAAAATATACTATGTTTTCAAACTGTAATATGTTCGCACATAAAAATAATCCTCACTGCCGCCTCGTCTTTACTCCCTTCTGGTTTCATAGGAGGCATTTTGCCAGATATGCCTGAATGAATCCTTTGTTTTGTGTACTTAATGCAGAAAAAGGACTTTTATAACTTTTCTCCAAAAGACACAATGGAAGTCGGTGGTCACTTGGTATAAACTAATATAACAACACAACCTGTTTTTTTCTGTCGAGGTACGAATTTCCAGGTGGTAGTTTTCTATGAACGTTATCAAAGTTTGTGTAATATAATACCCGTCACACTTAGTTGGTTATGAAACCATGCTACAACACTGTTGTTGTCCGTATGGAATAGTGTGTCATGAGTCTATGTTAAATAACGCTGAGTGACATATCACCTTGTTCGAATGCGTTCTTATTTGATCAAACTCCAGTTTTCAATAATTATTGAAGTTCTTATTTATGCTATTTCATCGTTTTTAATTTCGCTTCTTCCTCAGCGAACTGTTTGACCTACATTTGCCTTTCCGTTGGTGTTTCACAAATCTTCGGAGACGACGCTGCCACCTGTCTTTCCAGCGGATGACGATAGTCTTCCGGTCTACGTCATATCCGGTACGATTGTTTCTCCTCCGGTGTTTACCAATAAGAAGATACTGACGATTGAGACGCAGTTTTGGACATTTACATTTGACGTCCTTTTTGGGAATCCACAGGTACGTTTCACCTCGTCTGTTCTGTTTGGGGTCTGGTTTGTATATGCTGATGACGTGGACTGTAAATCTGATCATATCTCCGACAGTCTCCCTGGACAGAATGTTGGCATGGACAGCTGAAATAATTTAATTGAAAATTTCATGACACCAAAGATTATAAATAAAACATGCAGAAAACAGAATCCAAACGAGACTTTTTGTAGTTGATGTGTCTTCTGCCAAGACAACATATATGGAGTTCAATGGTTTATATTGTAAGATGTGTCCTTTAACTTGGCGATACTATGCACTTTTTGTTTTGTTTAAGACAGTATTAACGTACCTGTTTCTGTTATATGTAACCACATTTTACATTTTCAATCCAAATATGTGTAATTCACACATATACATTGTTTATATAAAGGGATTGTTATTTTCAAAACAGAATCATATGACTGGAACAAAAACTGAACTATTTCCTTGAAAACTCACCGAAGTCGCGACGGCAATATTTCCGAACGTTGACTCTCTTGTTTTTCGATTTGCATTTTCCACAAACGGCTGAAATGGGGAAAATTTGTCTTAGAATGAAGAGCAATACAAATCAGACAATACAATATTACAATAATGAACATAAATTAACACAAAATCAACAGCAATTCAGTGTAGATTCATAGGTCATACTCTATACTACACATCCTTCACAATTAGTGTTAGTACAACACAACGACTGACTCCAGGATACATGAATATTTATTTTCCGTCGATTTTGCAAGTCTATGTCGTATAAATAATTGTTTAGCGTTACACTTAACTTTCAACATATATAACGTCTAAAACATTGAACAAAATCTGGTACAAATTGTAACAACGTATCAACCTATCTATGTCCATACAACATAGTGTTGGCCTGACTTTACTAGTTATATATATCCTGTCACCTTTACTCCGTATTTTATACTAGTTTATATATGAATTATCCGTTGTATATTTGTTACGTTATAAACGGTTTTACAGGCACCCTTTCCGCTGTTTTCTACATATGCTTGGGACCACCTTTAGACAGGGAGTTTCAGGCTATTGACATTGACATTTGTAGCAATGAGTTGAGTCCTTTATAGACGAAATGGCAAGAAGGTGTAGTGAAATCTTTATTTCGTTTAGGTTTCTGTATTTTTAATTAAGATCCTGAAATCCTGTCTTCGTATTCTAGTGATTATGCCACCCACACCATTGTTTATTTGTCAATAAAGACAGACACCAAGGAACATACGGACGTCGTTTGTCCTGTCGTTTATACAAGTCCTCGTGATTGCATCTATGATTAATAATCGCGAATTTAGTATTACACCCACAGTAATGATATTTTTATTACACTCTATTGTTGTTTTTGATGTAGTTTGTCGATTGAAAGAGTGCCATCACCACTTTGTACTACATCTTCATCAATTTGACACCTTAATTGAAGGCAGTAATATTTTGAGTTATGCAATGTACCATAACTATGAACTGAGAAATGAATACACCTCCATAGAACATACACAGCAGGAACTGTATCCTTTAAAATCTGGCTAAGTATTGTATACGTATATTGTATTAATTGTTTGTGTATTTTATAGTAATTGTATATGTATACTGTGTTACTATACATGCCCTTTACGTTGTAAAGCACACTGGAGCTGCTAGCTTCAGCAGAATATGGTTCTATAACTATTGATCCCATTCAGTGTAAATGACATTTATATGGCATAAACTAATTCAAAGAATGATGGAAGATGTAATAGTAATCATTCCACTAAACAACACCAATAAGTCGACATATATGAAGTACTGAATCATGCCATTAGTGATAGTGTTTTACCAGTTATCAGAGGGACATAGAGCGTGGCGTGGATGGCAACACCCATATCGGCACGATCGGCAGTGTGGAGTGTTATAGGTATTATGATATTTTTATTACTCAATCCAAACCAAACTTTTACCTATAATTGACATAATCGCAAACCGTTTCAAAACGTTATTAACTTATCAAAATCAACGATATTTATTACTAGAAATAGTGTTGAGTGATAAAGGTTTAGAACCGGGCGTTAAGATATTACCAGTGTTTTACAGTTTGTCTAGACAGTTAAATTGTAGTGTGTCTATGTCTAACTCAATCGAGGGTTATAATTAGCAAAAATACGATGTTGTTGCTATTAATTTTATGTAAACAACGTTGCAGTGCAAATGCATTATGAAATATGTTTGGAATATAGCTTTTGTGTGTGAAAAGATACAATGCAGTTACAGTATAGATCAAATCTAGACGTGTTCCACAATGCATTCTACAAAGTGTGGGCACGTATTCATGAAACCGATCTCATTTTTTAAGCATGGATTCTGAACTGAAACTGCTTGTTACTCTCTTAAATGATGACACGGTTAAAAAGTTAAGTGTAAACATTTTGAACAGTATTCCGCTTAAAGTCTCTTTTTTCTTCTTTTCCAAAATCATGAATAAAACATGATTTATGACAGCGGTTTTACGAATACCGGCCCGTGGTGATGCAGAAGTGCTGCTGTATGTGTATAGATGTCTTAAACGTACATTTACTATCTGTGTATAGTGTAACACTAGACTGTCAGTAAGCCTATCCTCTGTGTACAGATTGTCGGTACAGTATACTAACTGTCTATGTGTACAGTGTGTACAGTGTATACTACAATGTCAGTAAACCTACCCTCTGTGTACAGACTGTCGGTATAGTATGTCTACTGTCTGTGTGTACAGTGTATACTATAATGTCAGTAAACCTACCCTCTGTGTACAGACTGTCGGTATAGTATGTCTACTGTCTGTGTGTACAGTGTATACTACACTGTCAGTAAACCTACCCTCTGTGTACAGACTGTCGGTATAGTATGTCTACTGTCTGTGTGTACAGTGTATACTACACTGTCAGTAAACCTACCCTCTGTGTACAGACTGTCGGTATAGTATGTCTACTGTCTGTGTGTACAGTGTATACTACACTGTCAGTAAACCTACCCTCTGTGTACAGACTGTCGGTATAGTATGTCTACTGTCTGTGTGTACAGTGTATACTACACTGTCAGTAAACCTACCCTCTGTGTACAGACTGTCGGTATAGTATGTCTACTGTCTGTGTGTACAGTGTATACTACACTGTCAGTAAACCTACCCTCTGTGTACAGACTGTCGGTATAGTATGTCTACTGTCTGTGTGTACAGTGTATACTACACTGTCAGTAAACCTACCCTCTGTGTACAGACTGTCGGTATAGTATGTCTACTGTCTGTGTGTACAGTGTATACTACACTGTCAGTAAACCTACCCTCTGTGTACAGACTGTCGGTATAGTATGTCTACTGTCTGTGTGTACAGTGTATACTACACTGTCAGTAAACCTACCCTCTGTGTACAGACTGTCGGTATAGTATGTCTACTGTCTGTGTGTACAGTGTATACTACACTGTCAGTAAACCTACCCTCTGTGTACAGACTGTCGGTATAGTATGTCTACTGTCTGTGTGTACAGTGTATACTACACTGTCAGTAAACCTACCCTCTGTGTACAGACTGTCGGTATAGTATGTCTACTGTCTGTGTGTACAGTGTATACTACACTGTCAGTAAACCTACCCTCTGTGTACAGACTGTCGGTATAGTATGTCTACTGTCTGTGTGTACAGTGTATACTACACTGTCAGTAAACCTACCCTCTGTGTACAGACTGTCGGTATAGTATGTCTACTGTCTGTGTGTACAGTGTATACTACACTGTCAGTAAACCTACCCTCTGTGTACAGACTGTCGGTATAGTATGTCTACTGTCTGTGTGTACAGTGTATACTACACTGTCAGTAAACCTACCCTCTGTGTACAGACTATCGGTAAAGTATGTCTACTGTCTGTGTGTACAGTGTATACTACACTGTCAGTAAATCTACCCGCTGTGTACAGACTGTTAGTATAGTATGTCTACTGTCTGTGTGTACAGTGTATACTACACTGTCAGTAAACCTACCCTCTGTGTACAGACTGTTAGTATAGTATGTCTACTGTCTGTGTGTACAGTGTATACTACACTGTCAGTAAGCCTACCTTCTGTGTATAAACTGTTAGTATAGTATACCTACTGTGTGTGTACAGTGTAACATTAGACTCCCAGAATAGTGAATATAGAGTATAGAGTAACATAAGAAAAGTCTTGAAAATATATTCATTAAAATTAAATGGGACTTTCCACACTCATGTGAATAAATATGGCGTATATTATAAACGTTAATACCACATTTTACGATGGTAATGCTGAATGCAAAAAAAATACCATTCTATTTGTAACCCGATATAACAAGGGTAAGTGCACTCTCCGTGAACGTGAATTTTGAACGTACATTGCTATAGTTACTCTAACCTGCTAATATTACACCACCTAATTGTGTATTAATAGCTCTCCTGGCCACACTTATAAGTTCGGTGTTCATTATACGATTTCATTACCTTAATACTACATCCTATTAATGCGTTCCTTTTTATCCTGGTGCTAGACATTTGCTCGATGAAACAGAGTAGTACTTTTTTGACGCGCGTGTTTTCCCCGTACCTAATGGACCCTAGCTGGTGCGGCCAGGTGTACGGGCCACACACAATACATTCACATGCGCATCGCATATACAGGCGGAATGATTTCAATGAATCCCGTGATTTCGTATGAAAAACATTCCACAAGAAGAAATAGTGCGAACTGTATACACTAAAACTAGGCATGGTTGTTTTCTTTCAGGACTTGCCGTCGAAGTCATAACAAATCTTAGAATTGGAATGGTATCAAACTGGACGCGAACCAACCAAAATAACTTTTGATTTCAAATAGGAAGGCGGGTATTAGTGGTGAATGGAGACAAAAGGTTTGTTAGGTGGCCCGGTCTCTCGTCACTCTGCGCCTCTTCTTCCGTCTTGTAATAGAGTGTTAGCGCTCAATCCGACCCATTAAACGAAAAGCCTTCCCAAACTCTACAATCAATCATAGAATTGGCCATGGCTTTCAGGCGAGTAAACCAGGCGACAGGCCTTTCGTCGGATATTGCATTTTTTACTGAAGTATGGTCTGAGATAGCTCTTGGGACGTTTTCAACCGTAAGAGAGTTTGATATTTTGGATTAATCGTGACAGTAGGCGTTGTATTAGTAACAAATCAAATGTTTGATTCAGAAACTTATGTCAAAGATATTGAATAGGGGTTACCCTGTGACTGTATGTGGCTTTATGCGATCCTGTAATTTGGTTAGATTAAGGTTTGTGGAGGATTAAGTTCGATGATTTTCTCCCAGAGGAAACATTTCCCCACCAAACAAAATGAATAAAGAATTACAGGTTTGATTTAAATTTCAGTAACGTATTATAAGTTATAAATTTGCACATTTGATGCGGAATTATCCGCATACCACTGTGGTATATGCTCGCATCGTTAAGTCCAACACATCACGTGAAATAGCTAAGAGACCTGTAGTCCCAGCCCTGTCCGCTGTATGATACTAAACAGTACATGTAAGTACATCACTGGCCTTGTAGAGATGTTCCTCTATTGTAAAAACAATCTTACTTGTTTGCGTTATTGTGTTTCATTATATTTCCCCCCGTTAGTGTAACTATCAAATCTGTTCATTTTGATGTCCAAATAAACCTTATAATCGGGTGGTTTTATTAACATTGTCAAAATAAAACATTTGATACATTGTTGGTTAATTATTGTTAATGGCCTACCTGGTCGGGGTCTTGAGGTCGGAGCAACAGGTATCTCTGAAATTATCAAAGAAATTATTTATTAGTACAAACACAATACAATAAAGTATCTACTATATATATGTCAGCATCCCTGATGTTTCAGCTCACAAAGACTAAGGAACGTAACAAATTAAAACTACACCTTAAGTATGGGACTGAACTAAAACAACTCATACATAAAATAAGGTAACAGAAACAGACAAATATACACAAAGTGCTATACCACGGCTACCGCTATGCGCCGCGCCTGCTCTAATGCGACATCTATCGGCTTAATCGCTCTTTCATATGCTAAATCATACAAATCTTGTCTGCTTTACAGGAAATTTGAAGCAATTTCGAACATTTAATGCATTAATTCTTATGAGTTTGGCAAAATTGAAAAATGATAACATCTTGAATTTTCTATGGAATCTAATGTCCAACTTGAGAAAAGAGGAGTAGTAATGGCATCGCTTTCTGATCAGACAGCTAGTTTGTGCATCGACATTCCTGTGTTATATGGGGACGCACGAACTTTCCCCGACATGCACGTGCCAGTGCACATCCAGTGCTACCTTCTACAGGTCTTAACAGACATTCCATGTAAAATATATAATAGCTGAAATCTGTCTACATAAAAATCACACCAACAAAATATTCCCTAAATCATATACGTTGTAAAATATATCACGACAAACACACATCGTCCGGAACGCCGATCGCGAATATTTGATTATGAACTGAGACAAGAGACAAAGAACACCTTATGAGCGTGGACGAACGTTTGTCGTGAAATATGACATACTATTATAATTAAATAGTTAAAACATCTCATAATTAAAGTGTGTTTATATTTCAAATGCTCAACCCTTTTGGCGAAAGCTACTCCGTTCACGCCCTAAATGTGAGCCGTAGAAACCAGTTTATAATAATTAATTCGGACTTTTTCCTACATAGACATGCACGGGAGATAAATTGAGTTTGACTGGTGGTAAACATGCCAATCGTATGGTTAGACCGACTCATGCGTGTCTGATTAAATGCATCAACAAGTTTCATACTAGTTGACATGATTTATGTTGTTAGGGCGAGGGTGATAAGACAAACATTATTTCACAACTACAGCTTTATTTTGGAACTTATTTTGGATTTTTGTTTAATATCAATTTGGCTTTGCGTGTGTTAAAGTTGAAAGTTGAGATACAAATACGATTTTATTATGTTAATTAGTTATCTCCACTATCTTCTATTTAATAACAGTTTCCGCGTTTTCATATACAGAAACATGATATATGTATTTATCTTAAACAAAATCACAGCATATTACTACATATTTTTCATTTACATTGTAGTTACATTCATTGGCCTATTGGCGTCATTCAATCAGTGTCATTCGGACGTTTCTGCCCTTGTCCCGCATAACGTGAGATTATCGTAAGAAGCAAATATTTAGATGATGTTAGTCTGTTTCAGGAAAGACTTTGTTAACTATTAACTTAATATATCACTCAATATACGTATTGAGCGGAGTTTCTTTTCTTTATAAAAAAAATGACAGTTATCAATCTCAGTCTTCGAGGGCCTCATGCAATATAGATGCAATCAGTTTGCGCTAATACCTTTTTGAATGTTAAAAGCTAAAATGTAAAAAAAACCTCATTCAATCCGTATAACAGAAACACTTAATATGTGTACCTTTACCATGACTACACACACACAAAATGTATATTGATTCAATTAGATTCAATATAAAGTTAACGAGCATAAATTATCTACCTTAAAAACATTTAAATCGAATTTTGAGGATAACACTTTGACAGTCGTTTATGATTTGGCAAAAATCTCTGCTGTAGCATTTCCGCTACGTGATCAAACTAACCACCGAATTATTCCTTAATCTAATGACTGTCAAAGTTTTATCCTCTCGATTCCGTTACGTAATGATAATTTTACGAGCATTGCTAGGACCCATATTATAGCATTCGTACCGACTAAATGCACACACTAAACCCCTAAACAGATAGCACGTTTTCTAATTTACAAACACTTCACACAAAGAGTAACTTGCAGAGATTCGGCTGTTTCGGAATAAGAAATCTTCATCTGTTAGCAACTAGGTAATTTGTTAGACAAAGTGTAGGTACAAGTCACCTTCCTGTTGTACAAGGAGGAAGTCATGTACAGATAACCAATCACAGAAACATGGTTAACATGAACATGCACGTCCGTCATTCCTTAAAATCATGTAAATTATGTGTGAACAGTGGGCAGACCTGAAGTAGTAGACCTCTATAATACATTGGTGGCCCCCTTGCCGTACATGTTTGTTGTTGATATATAAAACAGATACGGAATAAGCTCCGTCAGTTTGTGTTTAACACGATATAGTCAGCTATATAATATTATGTTGTTTTTAATTTTTACACTGGAAATGCCACAAAACCCTTTTGTTAGCTGAAACACGAACATATCCATCATATATTGTCGGACAACTCGGCAGGATTCATTACAGGCAAAACTCGAAATATTTTCACGTATTAAAAATCCTCGTTTTGATGCCATTAGTGGAATCGTGTTACAGGCAGCTGTTGTGCATGCATTACTGCCACTTCCCCCCCTTCCTCATCTACTGACCGCACCGAGTGTAAACTATACAAAGCTGTAGCGTGTACGGCGAGGGGGTGGAATAACTTACATTACAACTATGCTAAAACTATTTTCTTTTATTTAATTGAAAATGTGCAGGCTTCAATAAGTGAGTCAGCCACGCAAACGAACATATCATGCAATATTAAATAAAACACTTTTTTTTTACCTATGAAAGTATGTATCTCATGTCTTTTTTATTTATGAATTTGGAACTTACACTTGTAAAAAGTATTAAGTAAAGATAACTTAGGTTATGAAACACTAGAATGGTTTCCTTATCTATATTTTCCATATCCTCGTAACAGAGAGAGGGAGTTTAACAGATGTTCCTGTACTCGCCGCACGGTAGCTGCACAGCGACGAGCGCGACTACAATAATAAACAGCTGAAATGTCAAACCCACAGCACCCCTTCCCGGCCGTGATTGATTATTTGTAAGGAGCCGAATCCACGTATTAGTTTATGTATTCAATTCACCAAAACATAATACTCCTGTTTTCGAGTTCTGATGACAATACGGTATGTTATACATTCACTACTGGTCAAACCTTCAGTGGCTGGGTGGATCATTCTAGTTAGATCTGTTGTGATTAAGTATGAGATATTTTTGTAGTTAGGTAAGGGGTAGTTTTATTGGTAACTAAGGGTAAATTGTGTGGTTACACAAGGGTTATTTCATTGATAGATTAGGGATTTTCGGGCTAGTTAAGGGGTATAATTGTGGCTAGGTAAGTGGGAGCATTTTGGCTAGGTTAAGATTGTTTTTGAAGTTAGAGATATTTTAGACGTTACGTCAAAAATTTGTTTGAAGTAAGGGATATTTTAGACGTTACCTAAGAGATATGTTTGAAGTAACATAATGGTATTTGTGATGCAAGGATAATGGTATTTTTGAATTACATTAGGAGTATTTCTTTTTAATTGGGATAGGAGTTCTTCGTAACATAAAATAAAACAAGTTATATTTAAAAAAAAAAAAAACTTTTGAACAGGATTTCTTATTTATTCTGTATATTTTTACAATTCGAATTCAGTGTAATTACAACTGTAACATAATTTTTAAATTTTGTTCTAGATAGAAACCGCACACATGCATTTAAGAAGTTGCTTTGTAACCGAAAGACAATTTTCATCCGAGAAAAGGGGAATAGTTATAGTAATATAAACATATCTATGCCATTATTGTTTATAGTGTTCAGCCTAATAAAGATTTCATTCTTTTTACATGAACTTTCAAAAATGGTAATTGAATGTTTCCTTCGTGAACTATCTCTTACAATGTAGTATGCTCTGTCATATTTCGCTAAAAAATAGGTAAAACTTCTTTCAAACATTATAACCAATTCGAGATCTGATTTATTTACGTGGTCGGTTTGAGCCATTAAGTCTGTATCCTACTTATCGCAAACGCACGTGATTCATTAAAGCGAGCATCGTTTTACTGACTTACATGTATGACTGTATGTTGAGCTGTGTTAATACAATTTTCATGAAAAGGTGACAAGGCTCTCATAGAAAACTGGTAAGTGTTAAAAATGTCCTCAACGTTAGATTGACGCATCGTGTTATTAATACTTCTACACTCTTTCTTGGTGCTATGTACTAGCGGGGCCACTTTGGTAGCGAAGCTAGTGTTAATAAAACAGAAAACAACAATGATACTTAACACGATCGTCAGTTATTGACCATATGTATAGTGCAATATCTGTTTAATTAACAAATCTACGCATGCCATATTGCTTTTCAAGAACAACAAAAACCAAACAAAAACGCCATTGAAAACACTAGAAATGCCAATCATGAACTTTGCTTCCCTATCTATAAACTTTCCAAATTATATCTGATCTACGCATGCGCTAGACGAAATAATAACACAAACTATTTTTGTTGTAATCGTTCGATGTCGAGTTGGCTGTTCCTGAAATAGAGGAATAGCATTTTCCAAACAAGAAGCATAATGTTTAGTCTCGCAAATACATGTTTTGTATTGGGTTTGTTTCATGACTTGCGACGTTGTGCCTATAACGTTGATGCGACATTTAGTTTTTTCACTATTTCTGAATGCATCTGCGCTTTATATACACGTGTAAAACAGAAGAAACAAAAAACAGCTTACAGAGCACGACGGTAACATTTACGCGCATATACATATTGGTATGTACGGAAATTAACCAAGTTGGTTCTCTCATTGTCTGCCCATGCATACGATAACAAACCCGAGATTGTTTTAAAATGGAAATCAGTCTTGAGTGACGTGTATAATGGACATGCAAAATACATTACTCATTAAAAATTAATTAATTTTACATTTCATGAAAATACCAAGATATTCATATCATCACTGTATTAAAATGCCTTTCATTTCTACTGAAAAATCACAACCATAATTACAAATTATTTATATTTCATTTGTCATTTGGCGCAACAATTACATGTATAAATGATTGAAAACTTCTGTGAATAATGTTGCTGATTTGTGTAGTAAAATCTTTATATCAAAATGTAACGTTTTAAACCGGCAGCAACAATGGAAAACTATCACTCATTAAAAAAAATCTATATATAATTTTTGTTTTGTTATGTACTGTAAGTAATTGTCAGTATATGTGTGTTAGAATCTAGAATATCACATGTACACTTACTTATGCACGGGGCGATGGGGGAGTTGCTCTGTTGGTATCCTTTAGCGCACCTGTTACACGTCAGACCGGTCACACCATCCTTACAAGGACACTGTCCGGTAGATTGGTTACAAGTTCGTCCAAGAGCGCCGACGGGGTGACAGTCGCAACCTGCAAAGACAATTTATGATACAGGGTATGAACAAGTCACATCATTGTCATTAAGATCCAATACATTCATGTACATCAAATGTAGCATACTATCAAATATCCATGATCTTGTCCTGTGAAATAGAAAGAAAGAAAAAATGGCTATAAAAAACAAAGTGCCACATCGTCAATACACAAACTTAAAGTCAACACAATATGTACCACACAGTCAACACAATATGTACCACACAGTCGATACATTATGTACCACACAGACAATGATATAGCACATTTAAAGGTATATCACCATCAGTATACTTACACATTTATCCGAAAATTGGTGGACCAGAATTTGACAAATATAACAAGCTATCGACTGTAGCGATTAAATATATATATTGTCTGTGAAGCCTGTTAAACCTTTCAATATTTGATCATCAGCTATCAGTATATTGCAAGTACATGTACACGGTAGCAGTGCCCACTTGTCTACGTTATAGAGCGTTGTCCTCAGTGCACGGATGCCAGGTCGAATTGGCTTGTCTAACTTAATGATTAGATACATGTACATACCAATCTTAATGATTAGATACATGTACATACCAACCTTAATGATTAGATACATGGACATACCAATCTTAATGTTTAGATACATGTACATACTAATCTTAATAATTAGATACATGTACATATCAATCTTAATGATTAGAAACATGTACATACCAATCTTAATTATTAGATACATGTACATTCCAATCTTAATGATTAGAAACATGTACATACCAATCTTGATGATTAGATACATGTAAATACCAATCTTAATGATTAGATACATGTACATACCAATCTTAAACATATTGCAAAATACATAAATAGAGCTTTACTCACTGAACAGAAATATATATCAATTATGAATTATATATACGCAATTCAAATACATATACAATCTGAACATATATATAAGAAAGTTTCATGCATTGCAAACATACATCCATTATGTATTATATAATTTTATATATTTTTTATATTTATTTGCATCATAGACATTCTTAAAAATGCCTTCTTTCCGAGATAGTGATAACAACCTATTTTACTATATTAAGTAATTTAGTAATTACAATTTAGCTCTTTATTGACATTTCTGTGACGATAATTGAATTCCTCGTGTGTCTGGAAATCAATATTCCAAGGCAATGATTGTAATATATTACCGCGATACCTACCACAGAAATATTCAATACAAATACATTTTACTTTAATCAAATAGAGCATAACATACCACCACATGTAAAACAATATAACGTATTATTGTAATTTGCTAGCAAACACATTTGCATATTGCATATTTCATTTTAAGCACTTTTACGTACAATATAACGCAACGTTATTTACGTTATCCAAATGCCTACCAAACGTATTTAGCACATTTAAAAATATCCTTCTTAAAATAAAAATGATTTGCAGATCGCTTGCATAATTGTGCAAACGAGAACTAAAAACAACATTAACATGCAATGTGTTTTATTTACATAAACAGGTTATATTTAATTCTGAATAGTATTACGTTGCGAGTCAACAGAGCTAATAACAGGTGCCGTATGGAACACGCTGAGAGGCGTCGTTGTTGAACTGTATTTTAAACAGAAAATTATATTCGCAGGTAAATCTGACACTCGAACTATAAACGTCAGACTGTTGTGATGAAAGTGATCGGTATTGTCATGCACATTAGCTTGTCAACAGTAGACCATCGCGGGCAAAATAACACATTAAAACTAGTAGCGCAAATATAATTATTTTTCGGGAATGTTCAATTAATATATTTACTTACAAAATCGAAGCATTAAAAACAGGATTATTGATTTCGATCTTATATATATAGCCATTATGTTTGATTTTACCAAAAAAATGAAATATCATTTCAATATCGTATTTAAATTACAAGCTGCCTCGGCCGATGCATTCTTGAAAAGAAGTGATGTGTAACATGCCGGCTCCCTCCCGCTTACCACTCCTCTTTGCTATCTTATCCACACTACAGTATCAAAGTCTGAAGCTTTGGCGAGGCGAGAAAATCGTGTTCACTCCGATGTTGCTCCCCATTTTCCTATATACACACTACTGGCCTGTGCCAACACAATTCAGCAAAACAAACATAGTGTAATTGGAAAAGACACCGGAATAACGGATGTCGGCAGTATGGTAGAAAACTAGGCTTCAGAAAGAACGGTTTCTATTTTATAAAATCATTAAAATATCTAGGATGTTTAAAAATGTTTTTGACCATAATATATAGTAAATGAAAAGCAAACAACATCGACAGGCCAATCAGCATATAGTAAGAGTTTTAGATATCTATATTTACTGACATTTCGCACTTGTCTGTAAAAAATAAATTTCGAAAGGCTATGTGAACGAAAATGATAAATAAAGTACTTTGGAAGTAATTGATATAATTGAAAATATATACATTGTACATAAATAGCAGGAGTACTCATTGTATATTGTATAAGGAACTGTATAGATCCAAGTTAAATGCAATGTTGGTGCTTATCACTTAAGAGAATATTGGTGACGTACACCTGTGGACCGAAGGAAGACGCACTAGAAGCCAAGGTGTTAATTGCCTTCGGCGTTTGTGCGTCCCACCTCCTGAATACTACCGCTTCGTGGAGGTCTACTCGAGAGCTTATCTGGGGCTGAGGGTACGGCTATTAGCACTAATGAAATAGGTGTTACTAACAATAGTATGAGCTTCTTTTGATAGTCCTTGGGTAGATTTCAATGAAAGTTTTGTCACAGCCTCTTAATAACTCAAGTGTTAATCTGAAGCTTGTATCGAATTCCAGCACACATTTACATCGCTAAGTATAAGTACCTGAACATAGAACACTATCGGCAAAAGCCTTTTATCTTACGAGTGTCACACATAAACACCGATGTCATTGAAAGCAAAACGGATAATTCAAACAGGTGACACAAAAGAGGAGTTTCAATGTCTGAAATCGGTTTTTTTCAAGAAGGGGCGAGACGATTGCTTAGAAAGACTTAGCAATGTGACTATTGCGAGTAGGATAAGTAACGGCCTGGCGCCTTCTCTATTTAAATGATTAGTGCCAAAGTGTCAAATGACCTAACAATACCACAATACATAGAGCATTGGATTAATTGCCAATGATTACCTCATGTAAAAATGTCTTTTAGTGATTGAAGTATGTGCTACCAAACTTTCTAGTGAAAAATTGAAACTTGACAACGATAAATTAGTGTATATTTGGATGTTTTTGTAATTGATCAGGTGTGCAATTGTTTTGTAAATAACATATCCAAAAAAGTTCAACTTTCTTGCGAATTAACTATAATTTTTCGATGATCTCAGTAAGATTCAATGAGCTTCAAGCTATTCTGGCACACGTTCCATTATTTTACAGATCCATTGTTTTACAGATCCATTGTTTTACAGATCCATTTTTTACATATCCATTATTTTACGGTATCAGGGTCTGATGGATATTTTAGTATCTTAGGAATGACGAGATAATGTTGTGAGATAAAAAGGGTATATTTTTATTTAACATCAGTCATGACAGGCTTGATCCAAGACCCTTTTGTAAACCCAGACGTTTCTCTTTATAATTTCGGCTCTAAACTCAGAATGAAAGTATGCAATTCCAGCAACAATTTCAATATAATTCAACATCATACCTAGACAAATGTTAGGGAAGCTAGGTGTGATTTTGTTATATTTTCATAACCTACTAATTTAATTATCAAGAAATGAAAAACCGGTGTTCGATTTATAAATAAACCCCAACAATTTACTTTCCTGGTTTAATCAAATACTAGTATATCTTTGAATACCTAAGCATGGGTGGGCGTTATATAGCACATAGTTTCGTGTATATTTTTACGAATTATTATTGCATAAAGCATCTTTCAGGAAAAATTCCGAAAAAAGTTCAGTAAATTGAAGAATTCCACTTTGCAATCTTTTCTGAGATGTGGGGCGGAATAAAAGGGTTCCGTTAACATGCCTTTTTCACACCTCTGGCAACCGCTTTATATGGCGGTTAACGCGAAGATTGCGTCGATCTAAGTGGAAACACACCAATAAAATGGATTGATTTAGTTTTCAAAAACATGCCAATGTGGTTATGATTGTTAAGTAATGCTAACTTTCACGTACTATACATTTCCAGCTGGAGCCTGTTAGACAAGCACCGTTCATTTAAGCGTGGTTTGGTTATTAACCATCTTTCTGTAGTATTAAGCACGACCAGCTAGTGTCTGGTCCACACCTGTGAAAGGAAACTATAATGACTTCTTTTCAAGGACCACTGCATTGCCTACACGTGTACATGTTATCCTGATAATTCTGGTCTGTGAATCTCCCACTCCTCCACCCTCACCCCCCGTTTACAACCCCCAAAAATTCCCCTACGGATATCATCACAATCCCGCCCCTTCATAGTTCCAGGAAGATCCTCCTACGGATGTTATCACAGCTCCGCAACCCCTAACAACTCCAGTTAGGTCCCCTTATAGATGATTTGCAAGTCCCCTCTCTTCCCCTACAGCTCTAGGGGGATTCCATCTTGGATGTAATACCAGCGCCCCTCCCCTGACAACTCTAGAAACATATCTAACGGATGCTATCCATCTGTAGGTCTGTAAATGAAACAATTATCCAAGTAACACGTGGTACTTCCATTCGTCAAGTAATTCTAACTCATTGTAACAATTTGAAATCAATTTCACATAGTTCTTTATCCCGGGTTTTTAATTTGCAATACAATAGTGTATAGTGGTCGGTTCAAAGCCTATCAAACTAATCGATATTCCTGATTAATGTTCATCATTGTTCAATCATAATCCACGTCAGGGTGTACTAAGGTTTAAAATAAAATTGATGAAATTAATTTAGATGAAATATATGAAAATGTTAAGAAAACAATAGCATACGAAAAATGATGTTTATAAGTTGATGATAGAAAATAATCATTTGGCCACGGTTTAAGAGAAATAGAGCGAGAATAGCATTGGCTATTGATTTTAATGACAGACTATGTTCATATAACGTTAGATGTCGATTTTAATGACATAATTTGTTATTGACATTGATAAGATGACGTGTTATCTATACAATCAAGGATTTAACAATAAATACATTGATTCCGACGTGACAATAATTGTAACAAAAATACACATGGTATGTTGTCTTTTAGTAGTGTCAGCGATTTGTAAGACAGAGAGACAGTTAGGTAAGCCAGCGTCAGAGTGTTGGTAGCTCTACAGTGTATAGAGGAGAGTGCAGCGGAGGATGAGGAGACTAGATCCAGTAGAGGGTTCTGCCTACCTTTGCATGCCCTGCGATGGGTAACGTGCTTGGAAGGGTCTCTGTAATAACCCTGCTTACAATAGTGGCAAAACCTTCCCGCAGTGTTGTGCTTACAGCGCAGACATACTCCACCGCTCTTTTGGCCGGAAAGCTCAAACAGCTCTCGGTTAAAGCGGCAGCGCCGAGCATGCAAATTGCAATTGCAAGCTGTAAAAAAGAAAGTATGACGTTAAGTAAGTAGTCTAAATGTCCTACCTTTGCAAGCCTTTCTGTGCGTAATAAGCTTGCTCGAGTCCCTATAGAATCCCTCTTTGCAATAATGACAATTTCTGCCAGCTGTGTTATGTCGACACTTGATGCAAACCCCTCCACTCTTTTGCCCCGATAAGATGTACAGTTCCTTATTGAACCGACATTGTCTGGCGTGAAGGTTGCAGTTGCAGGCTGAAATGGACAAAGCATATCATCAAGATCCGTGTCATCATTTAAATGAGAATGTCTCAAATCAAAGGAAAGTTTCTCCAGGCTGAAATAAGAATATCAATTAATGTTTTTTTTTTTCATATTTCATACATTATTTACATATTATTTTACATTTTCTAATATATTTGAATTAGTTATAAACTTGCCATTACCCTAGAAATCGTAAACAGTTTGTATAAGAAGGCAAACTATATAACACTTATTTGTTCCGTAGTAAAATGTAATAATTCCAAAATACGATAATAAGGTTAATCGGGTCCTTATTAAATCTACTAATTGACACAAAGTTTCGGGCGTACAGTATAAGCGGCTAGTGATGTCCTTCTAATTAGATCTCGGGCACAATTAGAGACATTTATTTATGTGATGGCTAATGTAATGTATCAGGAAATGTTGGCAGGGCATACTATAGAGATAAATGTGAAGCGGAGGAAACTGTAACAAATATCAAGTATGATGAGGTAGGTAATGATTGCGCGTAAATGATGTTATAGAGATAATCATTTGGTGGAATTCATCAGACGATTTGAAAGTTTTTAACTTCCGGTAATCACACAAGGTTTGTTTTTTATATTCTGTCACGATTTAAATACGTACATTTTCTTCCTAAATGACTCTTGTTTTTGTTCTCTTTCGATATCATGTGTTCATTTCCAGCGATCAGATAACAGGTCTATAGACACCCAGCAGGGGAAACAAATGTCTTAGAGATTCTGATAACGTCATGCTCCTCATCACTCTATTATCTGCAAATTCATCATTGAAACGTATAATGAATTTGCAATTTGTTGTTTATGTTTTGCAGTGAACTTGAACGAGAAATTTTCTATTAAACGTTTTTTTTTTATATATATATATTTAATTCTTGAGTTGTCTAGTCAATCTTTAATTTCTTACTTCAAAACGTGTCGCTGAAGATCCCCCTGAGCAGGTATGTATAGTACGTAAACTGTTCTCTACGATTCATGATTTGATTGGACAACCATTACCCCCTGCTGATCATCCTATTACAGTCAATGAGAACGTCCCACGGCGTCCTTCACTATCTTTCCCATTATCCGAGCGTGAAGCTTTTGAACTGTTTAGTATGTTACACTTAGAAGTGTTGTAGGGAATTCTATTAGCCCACATCGCTATCTGTAACGTTCTCAAACGATGATCTAACCCTCTCCTATATAGTCCATCATTTAATTACTCCGAGTGTGATCAGAGGACGAAACTTGAATTCAAAAAGTTTAATATTTTGTCTCACTATCACGATGAGGTAAAGGACAGATTCCGGGGCTTACTTCCGGGAACAGCGGGAGTCACTTCCGCACGTAAGCATGGCAAGGCGCATGGGCTATCTGTTTTGAAACGATTAAATGTTTATCATCGTATTTGATCGCTTTGTTTTATAACATCCGTTTTCCAAGACGAACAATTCAGTACACATACATTTTGATTTTGTAAGTGTGAAAACGATATTATAAGACATTTGATAGATATAGTTCATCAAAAGTATTGGATGAATGCCGAACACTCCCTTTCTCTCACTGGCCCTTGTTTTATAAAGATACACCAGGAACACTCGACAGGTTTAGTTTGTAACTACTTCCAATGTTTCATCAAGGTACTGCGTCACTTATTCTTTCCTCACCGTCGATTAGCCTCGAAGTGAACTATCCGAACATTTGAGGTAAACGTCGCGTGTTGTAGTCGAATAAGGGTCTTATTTGATCCTGTCGAGGCAATTAAATCACATCCTCTGGCATGCAACAGGGATGGTAGGAATACATAAATAGCAGCAACGTTAAATCGCTATCATACGATATGGTCCTACTTGAGGTATGAGAATATTTGAAAGTCCACCTGGTGATCGGGTACAGAATTGCACCTGATATGTGATACTAGGTATGTTACACCGGGATATCGGAACACCACGCACACAACTTCTGTTTACTATCGACATTCTATCGTCAATATACCTGACATTCCAGCTTTCATAAACGTTTTTGTTTTCATCAACAATAATGTAAATATCATCTATAAAAATAAAGATCCTGAGAAGAACCTGACCTGGGATGTTTATACGGCGGTATAATTTTATCATACGATCAACCAATGGTGAAGTGAACAAACAGCTATACCGTAATACAGCGTACACTCCAATAATCCTACATCTTCTAATGCAATCATTGATCATTTTATAATTAAAAACGTTTGATAATAAAAGGAAACAGCCGTTGTGATGTTTTAGAACGTCCAAAATTCATACGAATGAGCTTAACATATACCTGACTACTTCCGAGTGTTATCACCACATACACCCGACTACTATCGGGTGTTATCACCACATATACCCGACTACTCCCGAGTGGTGTCACCACATATACCCGACTACTTCCGAGTGTTGTCACACCATATACCCGACTACTCCCGAGTGGTATCACCACATATATCCGACTACTTCCGAGTGTTATCACCACATATACCCGACTACTCCCGAGTGGTATCACCACATATACCCGACTACTTCCGAGTGTTATCACCACATATACCCGACACCACAGTGATATCACAACATATACCCTACTACTTCCGAGTGTTATCACCACATATACCAGACTACTCTCGAGTGTTATCACCACATATACCCGACTACTCCCGAGTGGTATCACCACATAAACCCGACTACTCCCGAGTGTTATCATCAAGTTGTTGATATAGGCATTTCCAATAGCATCCTTTAAAATGAAAGATACGACAGACTTCCGCAATTATTATTATTTTACTTGACACTTGAAAGTTTGAAATCTTGTTTTACAATAGTCATACACGTATGTTTCACGTATGTTAAAATTATCGGCAAATACATCGCGCACGTTGAACTTATAACACAGGAATGTGTAATCGATTGATGTGGTTCTTATAACTCATCTACACTCATCTATAAGAAAATGCTGGTCAATACATGACACTCTCATCAACATTACAACACAGTCACAACACAAAAACATCCCAGCACCAACACAATACAACATAGCTACCACACATACACACACCCTCTCCAACACCACAACACAATTAATACACATAAACACACCCTCACACACACCCTCATCAACACCACAACACAACTACCATAAATAAACACACCCTAACCAATATCACAACACACTACCACACATAAACACACCCTTAAACAAACCTTTACCAATACCACAACACAACTACCACACATAAACACACCCTTACCAATACCACAACACAACTTCCACACATAAACACACACACCCTTACCAACATCACAACTTCCACACATAAACACACCCTTACCAACACCACAACACAACTACCACACATACACACACCCTTACACACACCCTCACCAATACCACAACACAACCACCACACATAAACACACCCTTCCACACACCCTTACCAACACCACAACACAAATATCACACATACACACACCCTTACACACACCCTCAACAATACCACAACACAACTACCACACATAAACACACCCTTACCCCCACCACAACACAACCACCACACATAAACACACCCTTACACACACCCTTACCAATACCACAACACAACTTCCACATATAAACACACATTTCCACATACCCTTACCAACACTACAACACAACTACCACACATACACACACCCTTATAACACCCTTATAAACACCACAACATAACTTTCTCACAAACACACACTTACAAACATCTTACCAACACCACAACCCAACTTCTACACATAAATACACACATAAACATACACGTACACACATCCTACTACATGTAACACCACAACACAACTACCACACATAGACACACACCTACACACACCACAACACAGCCATGACACAAACTAAACACTTGAAACTACATGTACCATACAAACACAACCAACTGCCGGTTTTTTGTATACACCACAGAAAAGAGAAAACAAAGTTGATTTGCTAAAACGTATTTCTTGAATTAGTTTTTCTGCTCGAACAATGTAGCTGTTATGACCACGGTTTTGTTGGCTTCACAATATGTCAGACACCCTGCGCTGATAACACATATATACTGGACACTTACATAAATTCGCCAACAGTAAACACCCAAGCTCAGTAATATGATATATCCTACGGTAAGTCATTTTGTTGTAAATAGATTAAATTTCATGTTTACCACAATGTATTGCACATTGATGTGAATATAGATGTATTCATTAATGCCCGTGTCCACTAATTTCCTATTAAATCGTCTGTTACAACAGAAACGTGCAACACAGGCCTGTATGTAATACAGACTAAACAGTTATCATCTAAAATATCACTGATATACGTATTCACATAAATATATTCAGCATTTTATTTATTATTGTCTGTATTTATGTACTGTTTAAGTTTTTCATTTTAAGACCAGAAAACCTTTGCGAATACAACAGCTGAATTGAACTGAACATACGAGGCATACAGAGGACGTGTGGCAAGGTTTTGTTATAATGGCTAGACCGCCGCTGACGTTCTCCTTTACAATGAGAACGGACGGATACAGGTGTGGGTGAATGCTGGCTTACATAACTGTTACATAAAATATCGTATGAAATCGCGACTGCACGTGTTTCGGTAAAACATAGCGACACAGACGAGCAAACCCGGGGCATAAACGCAACATGTCAAATCAAACAGACATTGCAATGAATATCCCGGGGACGACAACGGCTGGTACAATTTGTA